ACATTCAGGTCTCAATACAGATGTTTCCTTTTCCCTGCAGTAATAACCATCTTTGGAGTGAATCCTGACCCCCCGACCATAGGCATCCCCTGGGGATCTTGTTGAAATGCAGTTTCCCATTCAGTAGGTCCTGGGCAGGGCCTGAGAATGTGCATTTCTGATGAGCTCCCTGGAAGTTAGATGCTGCTGGTCTGCAGACTACACTTGTAGTAGCAAGGCTCTAGCTCATTATTTTATTTTATTTTCTTCTTAGTACATGTCACAATGTGATATTATCGTATTTATCTGTGCATATGTTCGTTGTGGCTCTCTTCCCACTAGATATAAACTGCCATGTCTGCTTGATGCCCTGTTACATCCGCAGGCCCAGCACAGTGCAGACACACAGTAGGTTCTCGATACTTGAGGTCCCCCTGGTAACAGTGGGAGTCAGGTCCTGGAGGGCAGGGACCCTGTCCTATTTCCTCCTGCCTCCTCACGGCACAGCAGGGGGTAGGAGCCCACAGCAGGGGCTTGGTGACTGGAGGCTGGGGTGGAGCAGCTCCTGACTCTTGACCCCACGTGCTCCCCAAGAGGTCAGGACTGGAGTGACAATGGGAAGGAAAACAGCCAAAGGTCCGTAGACATCAAGTGATGTATGTGTGTATAAAAATTCTTTTTAAAACTAGAAAACTTGTCTCAACCTTTGTCTGAGTCCATTCTGTAGCTCCTGGGTGCGAGCCCAGCGGGGTTACTTGGAGTCTGTGCCCCAGGGCACGACTTGATCCTCTTACCCCTCGCACCACATTCACATGATGTTCCTGGCCTCACCCTTAGGGGCCTTGACCCTAGTCCATCTGGAGCCAGTTTAGTTTGTCCAAACTGGGGCATTCAGATACACTGAGGGTGAGGCCACAGGCAGCTCCGCGCAGGCCATTCCAGCGAAGTGCCTCACTCAGCCTCGGTTTCCCTATCTGAGGGCAGGAGGGAACAGTGGGGAAACTGAAAGAAGCTTGAGGTCTAGTCCAGCTTCTGCTGCTTCCCTCCCCTTCATTGCTAGGATTCCCCTCCTGCAGCGGCCCAGCTGGACCAGATAACCTCCGAACCCTGGGACACAGCAACTTGAGAGCAGGGACTCCTGAGTTCAGTGGGCCCTGCTGAACTGAGGGCCACCTCTTCTGCCCCACCACACCCCCTGAGAAGACCCCACATCCCCTCTTTCCTCCTTCCTCTTCTCCCCACTCCTAGAACTTGTCTGAGTCCAGCCTAGCCCCTTAGATTCCTGCTCACTGTAATCAGAGAAGGCTGGCAGCTGCTGATTCAGCAACATTTTATCCAGGGCATTCCATCTGCCAGGTGGACCTGGAGGCAGTCTTGGTCCAGAACCTGCTGGTTGGATGACTGCAGCCATGCAGACGCTCCCCTCCTTCCTTCCCAGGGCTCCTCGTGTGTTCTGCACTCTTTCACTCACACAGCTCATTTATTCGCCCAATTACTAGTTTGGTCACTCTCTCCCTTTTTCTCGAACATACTGATTTACTCACTCACTCATTCACGTGGCACTCACTTATCCCTCAGGGCCAATCTGGGAACATGTCTGGGAATAGACTGGCCTGAGATGGGACTAGGATGCACACAGAGAGGCAGAATGACACAGCAGGGCACAGGGGCCATGTGCTCAGGTGGAGTCCCCCGGAGTCTGAGCTGGAGAGGCCGTAACAAGCATCAGCCCACCCCCACCACCATTGCATAGATGGGGCAGGGAGGCTCAGGGAAGCCCCAGGCCCCTGGGTAAAAGAGGAAGGAGGCCACTGCTTGCAGGGCACTCCTGGCCTGCCCACCATGCCTGGGTCAGCTCCCCTAGTGCTCTCCACAGGCAGCAGATCACGGTTTCCAGTTCTGGGTCAGTGACCCTGGGTTAAAACCAAAAGAACCAGGGCAGGGTAATGTCCTCAGGGACCTGGACGTGGATTCAGAAGGAGTTACACAACCAAAGCTGGAAGGGCCTTCCCTTCAGAGGTCTCCAAACCCTTCACTTTACAGCTGTGGACACGGGAGCCCAGGGGGCCTGCTCATAAGTGGGCCTGGCAGAACCCCAAACCCAAACCACAACAGCCCACCCCGTGGTCTTTGGCTGTGCCTACTGCTCAGCCATCCTAGATGTTCATATATAAGGGAGGCCCCATTTTCCTGAGGGGAAAACATTCTTAAAGCGTAAAAGTCAAAAACAAACAAATAAGAAATACTTTAGGGCTACGAATGAACTAAGCAAATGTTTACTTAAGTAATCTGTTAAAATTAAATTCTTTCACTTAATTTATTAATTTAGAAAACTTGCTCTTTTCCACTCATAGTTTAGGAAACAATTTCATGCAAATTCTTCACCCTGCTGACTGGTGGAGGAAATATTGAGCTAATGTGTCTTGCTACCAGTTTAGTTTTCAGTCAAGTCCTGGGAAGGCACTCTGTATAATAGAGACTGTCAGGACAGGAGTATGGCACACCCCTCCCTCCCTGGGGAGTAATTCTGGAAAAGAGTCAGGTCTGAGAGGTTGCACGCAGCTCCTGGGTGGCCATCTGTGGCTGTAGCCGCTTGGGCTCCCTCACCCCCAAAGACCTCACTACTGCCTCCCCCCAAGCCAGGAACCCTGTTTTTCGAGGTGACTGGACGTTATGACCAAAGACCCTAGACTGTGTCAAGAAGTGAATCTAATGGTCATCATTCAGCCAGTATTTACCAAGCATTTGCAGCACTGGGCCCCAGGACAGGTACAAAATGAACTGAAATGTGTGTAGCCAGTCCTACAATGGAGGAATAAATGAGGAATTGGGAAGGGGAAGTGGCCAGGAGGCGGTGCATATTTATTGAGGTCTTGCAATATATGAGATATTTCACGAACATCATCTCTAATCCTCGTAACTACCCTTGTGTGGGAGTTATTACTCGTTCTGACTCTTCTGTGTCTAAGAACTAATAGTGAGCTCAGGCTAATTACTTTACCTTCCTAGGCCTCAAGTTCCTCCTCTGTAAATGGCAACTACCTGCCACCTATGATTGTTGGGAGCACTGAGTCTGTTCTGAGCGCTGGGCATAAATTAGTTTGAAGAGCAAGCCCTCAGTCGATGTTTGCTCTTATGATTACTATAACATAGGAGGAAGCTGAGGCTGGGAGAGGGGCAGTGACTAGCCCAGGGCCGCATAGCCAGAGGGAGGAAGAGCTGGCCCATGCTCTCTGTTCCACTCTATGACCTGCAGTACAGAAAGGGTGAAAGTGGAAGCTTGACCCGTCACAGCAGGCCCACAGCCTGGACTTGGCTGCCCTCTCTGCCCTGGAGAGGCAAGGCCAACTCTCCAGGCCACAGCCAGCCCATGAAGGGGACTTGGAGAGAGGCAAGACCACTGCTTTCCTCTGAGGCCTGGAGAGCTGGGCTGAGCCTCCTCCTGTCATGTCAGAGACCTTGGACAAGTGCCTCCCCCTTTGTGAGTCTCAGTTTCCTCATCTGAAAAGGAGGATACTGATGTTTCTCTGCCTCATAGGGCATTTGTGGGGATCGAGCAAGTTAAGAGCTAGGAAATGGTTTTTCACACTACCCTGTTGTGCTGATATAAGCGTAGTTAAGGCTGGTGAATTTGAGGTGAGGTGAATATAATTTAATGTGGAGAGGGTAAAGGCAGGTAGAATTCAGTTCAAAATAAAGATGAACTTTCTCATAGCCCTGGTCATAGGAGTCGGAGGGAGTGGGCGAGTGGATGGCTGTCAGTCAGGAGGGTGCAGAGGGGGCTCCTGCCCTGCGGTGGGGGTGAGGGTGGCATAGGTGAGACAAGATCTTCTCCGTGTGCTCTCCTCCTCCTCTCTCCACCCTTGCTGGGACAGAAGGTACCTAGCAGATCTTTCCACCCAAGGTAGTGTTGTAAGCAGCTGCCTGAATCAGGACTCGGAAGGTTGTGTTCACTTGACTCCGCCACTAATTGGCTGTGCAATTTGAGCCTCTTTCTGGGCCTCATTTTCCTAGTTATAAATAAATATAGCAAATTTGTCACTGCGATAATGTGGCTCTGCAAAGGATTATTGTCTTCCAAGATTGTTGGCCAAAAGACTAGGTGCGTGGTAAAGTGGAAGCATTGCAATTCGTGGAATTACCGGTTAGAGTCGAGAGACACCTCAGCATTAATCTAGAATCTGCACAGATAGTATGTCTGGGGATTGTTCTTTGTGGTTTACAAAGCATTTTCTTTAGCTTTGTCTTATTTGATCCTCACAACATCTCAAGTTTACAGATAAGGGCGTGGATCCAGTTAACTTGTATGACTTATCCAACCTCACACATCAGTCTAGAGCACTGAGTGGAGGTGGGAGAGAGGTGGTCCTGGGCCAGAATCCCAGCTCCAATGGGCCATGGGCAAGTTACTCTAGCTATCTGCCCCTCAGTTTCCTCATTGGTAAAACAAGAATATTAAAACATTCATCATAGGGTGGTGGTGAAGATTAAATGAGATAACTTGTGAGAGAGCTTAGTGCAGAACTCGATGTGAAGCAGGTGTTCAATAAGTGTTAGCCAACAAACAACCAAAAAACACAGCTGGGAAATCGCAGGACTGGGCTTCTAACTCTGACTTGAGTGCTGTTTGCACACATGAAGCTGTTTGATTTCATGATCCTCTTCCCTTGTTCATTTCAAGCTGAGCCACCCCAGGTTGAAGAAGTGAGCCGCGCATGAGGAGGCAGGCAGAGAGGAGGCTGCTTGGCCTCAAGTGACCTGAAAAATGAATTGCTGCCCTGAGTTCCAGTGGACCAGTTGCCAAAGGGAAAAGCTTTCCTCTAACTGGCCCTGTGAGCTGAGGGAGGAGGAGCCAGGATCTTGCAGAGGCAGTCACAGAGTGCTGAAGTGACAGACCGAAGTCTGGCAGTTCTGTCCATGGGCAGATAGATCACCAGATACAGACGTTGGGACTCAAGCCCTGGGATTGGCCTAAAAGAGGGCTGTGTTGACCCACTGGCCGGGCCTTGGCATTCTGTCAAACTGCTGTCACATCCACACATAATAATAACAGCCTAGAAATAGTGCTGGGGCAGTCTGCCGGACTCAGTGTGAACAAGGAAGCCACCATGCAAGTGCTAACCGATCGCTACCCCAAGAACTGCCTGCTGACCGTCATGGACCGGTACTCGGCCGTGGTGCGCAACATGGAGCAGGTGGTGATGATCCCCAGCCTTCTGCAGGATGTGCAGCTGAGTGCACACGGGCACCAGGCCCAGGACCCCGATCTCTACAACTGCTTCACCATGCTCAAGGCCATCCGCGTGGATGTGGACCACGGGCTGCTGCCCCGGGAGGAGTGGCAGGCCAAGGTGGCAGCCCGCAAAGCGAACGTGGCTGAGAACGAAGCTGCAGAGACAGAGGAGGCCGAGGAGGAGAGGGTCTCAGGGCAGCTGGACCTAGAAGCCCAGTTCCACCTGCACTTCTCCAGCCTTCATCACGTCCTCACCCATCTTACCCTGAAAGCCGAGGAGGTGACGAGGAAATACCAGGAGATGCTGGGACAGGCCATGTAGGCCTTGGACTCGAGGGAAGGTAATGGTAGCCATGCTAGTAGGTGTCAGAATCCACCGAGGGACATTCCAGGGGAGGAGAGGGAGAAGTGGTGCAACCCAGTGGGAGAGGGAGAGCCCGGCTCTCAGACAGAGCCACCCTCACTTCAGGGTATTGGGATCAGGACCTGGGAAGGCCCAAGGCCAGGCCTGCCTTACTCTCCTTCTGACCCAGAATTGGTGAGTAATGGCTGTAAACTGTCATGGAGACAGAAGGAAAAGTGGCCTGTGAGTGCATCCCTTATGTGCACATTTATGTGTTTATGCATGTATGCATTTATTTTTAATTAATTAATTAATTAATTAATTATTTTTGTGAGGAAGATCAGC